CTCCGTTACCCTCGGAGATAACAAGACGCAGCGCTTCTTCGATCAGACGGTCCCCGACCTCCACTTCTCCCTCACCCTCCAGCCACCGGATAGTATCCAGGCGCCTCGGCGCTACCATTCCTCCGCCTACTTCGACGTGCTGGAGATTGGGTACGACTTTATCCTTGGCACTCCCTGGTCTCGCCGGTTCCGTAGCACAGAGGCCGAATGGGCGTTTGAGACACTCATTCTCAAAACGAAGTGTGGTCAAACCGATCGAGTCCCCTTCATTGGAACCACGGGCGACACCCCTCCAAACCTACCTCCCCAGGACCCTCGTCCTTCTGGGTCCCACCCAGACATCTCCTTCACTTCTCCCCGTCAGTTTGCTCACTTCATCCGACAGGAGGACGTCACGCTCTACTCAGTGAACTTCATGGATCTTCTTCGCTACGATCCACTCTGTCCCGAGGTTGAGCTCATCTCACTGGAGCCCGATCCCCCTGACCCTTCCTCCATCTTCGCGGCTCCCATCTCTACATCCACCCCGCAGCCTACGGATACCCCCTCGACATCCCAGGTTCCTACGCCGTCCGCTGCCAAGTCCACCCATACGTCTCGTGCCGACGCAGACGTTGAGGAACTCATGCGGTTCACGGCTGACTTAGAGCCCGTCATGCGCGACCTGATTCGGGAGTACCGCGACGTCTTCCCCCCGTATTTCTCATACAGTGGGATTCCCTCGATGCGCGGTGTCGAGCATTCCATCCAGCTCGTGCCTGACTATCGTCTTCACCATCAGGCACCATACCGACTCTCGATTCCAGAGGCGACGGAACTCCAGCGTCAGCTTGAGGAGCTCCTTCGACTTGGTTTCATTAAACCTAGTAACTCCCCTTGGGGTGCACCTGTCCTCTTTGCTCGCAAAGCGGACGGAACTCTCCGCCTCTGCATCGATTATCGCGGCCTTCACCGTTACACGGTTAAGAACAGCTATCCCATGCCCCGCGCGGATGAGCTGTTTGACCGTCTGGCAGGCAGCCGCTTCTTCACGAAGATCGATCTTCGTAGCGGTTACCACCAGATCCGCGTTGCCGCAGAGGACCAGCCGAAGACCGCCTTTCGGTCGCGCTTCGGCCACTACGAGTTCACGGTGATGCCATTTGGCCTCACCAATGCACCCGCCACCTTCCAGACGGCGATGAACGACATCTTCAGGGACATCCTTGAAGAATACGTTCTCGTATACCTGGACGACATCCTGGTCTACAATCGTACTTAGAAGACCATATCAGACACCTCCGCGATGTCCTACAGTGCTTACGCAAGCATGGCTTCAATGCCAAGCTCAGTAAGTGCCGCTTTGCCCAACGCAAAGTGGACTTCCTAGGACACCATGTGTCTGACCAGGGTCTCCACATGGACGACGCGAAGATCACTGCTATTGCAGAGTGGTCCGTCCCCACATCTGCCAAGCAGCTTCGCAGCTTTCTAGGCCTCACCAGCTACTATAGTAATTTTATCCAGGGATACACTAGGTATTCCTACGTCCTTACCTCCACCCTCCTCCGGAAGAACCCTCCGTGGTTTTGGACACCCCTCTGCGAGGACGCCTTCCGCGCCCTCAAGAAGGCGGTGACTTGCGCGCCGGTTCTTCGCCTTCCCGATATTGATCGTCCCTTTATCGTCACCACCGATGCGTCAGATTTTGCAGGAGGAGCTGTCCTTTCTCAGGTGTTTCCCTCTCCTCCAGATTCACCTTACCCCCATGTTCCTCCTTTTCCTCCCCCTCCTGCYGACACTGCTTCTCGACTGACGCCTATCCTACCACCACATCCCTCCACTGACAGTCCTCCCATTACTTACTCCCCAACCATCGCGGAGGATGGGACGGTCGAGGCTCGTGCTGGGGATTGCCCGATCACTTTCTACTCTCGTCAGCTACTACCTGCCGAGATAAACTACACTGCCGAGATAAACTACACCCCGGGTAGCAGTAGTTTATGCTACCCGGCATTGGCGTCATTATCTGCACGGGGCGCCCTTCACGGTGCGCACGGACAACTCAGTTGTCCAGGCTTTCCTCACGAAGCCTAAGCTTTCCCCTCGACAGGCACGCTGGTGGCGTGACTTATCCGAGTTCAGTTTCACCACTCAGCCCATCAAGGGTGAAACGAACCGCGTCGTCGATGCCTTGTCCCGCCGTCCTGATCACAATCAGGAACCCATCCATCTTGCTGCCATCTCCATC